AAAAAATCCCTGATTTGGTCCCTACTGTTTACCATTTTTACCTCGATTTGGTCCTTCTGTTAAACACCTCTCCACCTGTACTGTTAATTTACGGTAAGATGATGACATGTCAAAATTTTACTCCACGTGAAAGACAACATGGCAAAAACTAGTGACATGGCAATAAAAATTTTAAAAATTATTTCTCCTTCCTCGTCCCCTTTCTCCTTCCTCTTCATTTCCTGGACCTAGAGCCTGGGATTGTCAAACCCAGGCGATGGGATCCTTCAAACCCAGTTCCTTGTTCCCTTTCTCCTTCCTCTTCCTTTCCTTCTTCATCAATCAATTCTTCATCATCATCAAACAACACCCACAAAAACTTCATCAATCAATTCATCATCATCATCAAACAACACCCACAAAAATAAAGAAATTATTTATTTATTTTTTTGTTGAAGAAACCAGAGCTTGGGTTCCTTCAAAGAACCCAGGCGCGGGTTCGAAGAACCCAAGCCTGCTGGGTTCTTCAAACCCAGGCTTAGATTCGAACCCAGGCGTTGGGTTCCTGGGTTCTTCAAGGAACCCAGGCGCGGGTACCCAGCACTTGGGTTCAAAGAACCCACAGGTGCGGGTCCGAAGAACCCAAGCCTGCTGGGTTCTTCAAACCCAGGCTTGGATTCGAACCCAGGCGCTGGGTTCCTGGGTTCTTCAAGGAACCCAGGCACAGGTACCCAACGCCTGGGTTTGAAGAACCCACGCTCGAACCTGCGCCTGGGGTTCGAAGAACCCAGGGTGTGAATGGGAAGAAGGAGGGAAGATAGTATTTTTGCAGGAGGTGGGCCCCACATTTTTTTTTGTTGGCTGAAATCTGACGTGTTTTAATGACATGGTATTGATCTGTAATAATATTTTGACATGTCATCATTTTCCGTTAGTTAATTGGACACATCATTGAATTTTTAACAGAAGGACCAAATCGGGGTAAAAAGGGTAAACAATAGGGACTAAATCAGGGATTTTTTGAGTTTAGGGACCAAATCCGGGATCCGTACAATAGTTGAGGGACCAAAAAGGGGTTTTAACCTAAAAAAAATTAAATCCATCCAAGCGAGTCCACCTCACAAACATCACATGCCATAGCACCCCTTTGAGCCTAGGCAATTAATAAAACTTCGTCTCGTAGGAAACCCCGTCCCTCGTGAAACCTTCTCGTTCTTTCTAGACACACCCCATCCACCTCTCCCGTCGCGCCTGAAACCCTAGATGTCATCCTCCAGCCAGCCTCAGTTCAGGTACACCCAGACCCCGTCCAAGGTCCTCCACCTGCGTAACCTCCCCTGGGAGTGTGCAGAAGAGGAACTTATCGAGCTCTGCAAACCCTTCGGCAAAATTGTCAACACCAAGTGCAATGTCGGCGCCAATCGCAATCAAGCTTTTGTTGAATTTGTAAGTTCTAATTCTGCATATTTTCCTTATTTTTTTCCTGCTCTGGAAGATAGATTCCTTAATAAATTCCCGGCCAGCTCACGGTACCGTCGAATCCCTTTGTTATTAGATTCATTCACATATTCGCATGTTAGGGTTAACTGTTATGGTGTACACATATTTGGGATTTGGAGGCTATCAGGGGTTATGTTTATTCTTTTAGTTGTCTTGTATCTATAATCTGTTGGGGCTGCTTTTTGTTGACGAATGCTATGGTTCACTTTGCAGGCAGACCTAAATCAGGCAATTCAGATGGTCTCTTATTATGCTTCATCTTCGGAGCCTGCACAAGTTCGTGGCAAAACCGTGTACATCCAGTACTCGAACAGACATGAAATTGTTAACAACAAGAGTCCTGGAGACACCCCAGGAAATGTATTGCTAGTTACTATTGAGGGTGTTGAAGCTGGTGATGTGAGCATTGATGTTATTCACTTGGTAAGTGCTTTTTTTCTGGAGATTTATGCTGCTTCTCATTTCAACTTCTTGTTATTGACTATTGTATTGTAATCATGCTTCATGTATCTTATCTAATAAAAGCATCATAAATTATGGATCATTGTGATCGCATCTGCTTGGAGTTGTAGACATTATTCTGCTCCTAAATACGGGGCACTTTAGTCTGATTAAGGAGAGAATTTATACTTCCACTTCTCTAATATGTCATTTAATTGTGTATAGCCAAATCTAATTCTTGCTTGTAAATGGGTACACTTGTTAAGGAATTACCAAGGATTACGTATAGAATAGAAGAAACGTCATCATCTGTTTGATTAATCCCGAACTTTGGTCTTGTTAGGGTTAGCCATCTGAAGCCTTCTAAGGTCATACTTGTTTCTAAGGTCTATCTTTACACATATATGTACAGGTGTCATTCTGCACTTATTTCTCATCCATTTGGCACTTTCTTAATCTGTCTCACTATAATGAGTGTGATGGTTTCTAGAGCATTGCCATTTTGTCTTGATATATCCATAATATGTTATTATATCTAATTGAAATTTGTTTCAGGTATTTTCTGCTTTTGGTTTTGTGCACAAAATTGCCACATTTGAAAAGGCGGCTGGTTTCCAGGTGTGATATCAACATGCTTTTTTTTTTTTTTTTTGAAATTGTTTGTCATTCTATTATATATCATTTACATTCTTTTGATGAAATTTGACAGGCATTAATCCAGTTCACTGATGCTGAAACTGCATCTTCAGCAAGGAATGCCTTGGATGGGAGAAGTATTCCTAGGTATGGCATTGCACTTTTTTCTCTCTTTTTTCTCTCTGTATTATCCTCGGCAGCTCTTTCACTAGCTCTCCATGGTTCTTTTCATAACATTGTTCTTCAGTATACACTTTTCTGAATTAAACAGATGAAATAGAGTTGTAAACTCTTTAACATGATTTTTTAAATTCAGGTATTTGCTCCCAGAGCATGTTGGTTCCTGTCACTTGCGTATATCATATTCTGCACATACTGATTTGAATATCAAGTTTCAGTCTAATCGAAGCAGGTAAAGAGAGTTCCATGATGTAAAGCTATATTATGTTTGGTTGGGTTGATTTCTCTAGTTTTTTTTTTTTATTCTATCCATGTGAAATATATAATGTCTCTTTAGACGATGCTAATTGATGTGCGTGCTTTTTGTCATCTAGGGTGTTAGTGAAGCCTCATAGCCAGAACACAGATGTGTTATCATGGCCACTTAGTAATTTCCTTAATCTTTGAATATAGCTCCATGCATGTGCATATATTTTTTTCTCTTATCATGTATTATGACATTGCCAGCTTGTCAGTACCATATCTAGTAATTAACCTTTTTTGCTTGGAATGAAGTGTTTGCTTCTTTGTGCAAATATGGTATCATAGTTATTGCCTGCAAAACTTTAGCTAGCTTGTTTGGGATGGAAATTTGGCATTTTTGAACGTTTTAATTTTCTATAGTAATCAAGTCATATTAACCTGGTTTCAACTGTAATGTTGCCTTAATTACAGTAATAATATTCAATGGTATTACCTTTGAAGTCATTTGAGATACTATTTTATATGTAATTGGGGCAACTGGATTCCCATTTAGTCTGTTTTACTATTTTCATTTTATACATTTAATACATTTGTTTATTGGATCACCAAATTGTTAACTTTATTTGTTTAATGGTCAAATGAGTAATGCATAATTGTGTTTTTGACTTCAGTTTATTTTGGGTTGTGTTGGATCATTTTGTTCTCTGCATCAGTTTCTGATGCTTTTGCATTTGTGGTTTACTTTATAATTTTCAAACTAAAATTGGATGTTTTTTTCCCTTTCCTGCAGGGACTATACAAATCCATACCTCCCAGTGAATCCCACAGCAATGGAGGGACTTATGCAGGTAGCTCCTCAGCTTAAGAACATTTTTGTGCATTTTCAAAATGTTGTACCCTAATAAGCTGTAATTTCCAGCCTGTAGTTGGTCCTGATGGAAAGAAGCAAGAACCTCAGAGCAATGTGCTGCTTGCTTCAATTGAGAATATGCAGTATGCTGTTACAGTGGATGTTCTTCACACGGTAGGAATTGTGTCGATAATTGTTCACAGGAAATACTTGTTGCTTTACATGGTGTCATGATTCTGTTGGTTGGCTTATGTAGGTATTCTCTGCATTTGGAACTGTCCAGAAAATTGCCATATTTGAGAAGAATGGAGGAACACAAGCTCTAATTCAGTACCCTGGTATGATTACTTCTTGAATCAAGTATTGCGTATGAGTTTGTTAATTGTTTTATGTATGTGTTCGGCAATCCTTCCCATTAGCTGTCATCTTTTATGGATGATTGTTTGATATTGTTTTGCAACATGCAAGCCAACATTTAGAAATGAATGCCCTTACTGGTTTTGCTTACATCTGATTATTTGCAGATATTACAACTGCAGCAGTTGCAAAAGATGCTTTAGAGGGACACTGCATATATGATGGTGGCTATTGTAAGCTTCATCTATCATACTCTCGTCATACTGATCTCAATGTAAAGGTATAAATATGTGTTTTTAAGTTACTGTTCATGATAAAAAAAATAAAGAGATCCTTAGAAGATAGAGGAGATACGTTCTTGATGGAAAAAAAGATTGGTCCTTAAAATGTATGTTTCTTGACACTTGATTTCACCCTTTTCCTGCTTGATAAGTTTTTTTGTCTTTGTAATACTCATCGTGATTCTGAGTTCCAAACTCTATCACAGGCTTACAGTGATAAAAGTAGAGATTACACAATTCCAGATTCAAGTCTGCTTGCAGCAC